GGAGACCTCCAAAGTACCAGCCTGCTCTCTGCATCTAGAGGTAAAATCACCTGCCTTGCTGCACAGACCAACAGACACCATAAGGTGGTTCTTGACACCACTGAATTTAGTGGGGGAAAATTCCTGATGTTGCCCTCAACTGCCTGCACTTGGGTGGAAACAGCCCCGTGCAAATCTGCTGACACCAAAATGAAGGCAGTTGGTGTTGGCAAGCTGCAGAGCAAACTTGTGCAGCATGAGCATCGCCTTGCAACAGCTTTCCTTGCCCAAAGTCTCTTTAATTAGGCCACACCTCAAATCCTGGGGTCAGTTTTGGGCCCCTCACTCCCAGAAGGACCTTGAGGGGCTGGAGCGTGGCCAGAGAAGGGCAACGAAGCTGCTGGGGAAGGGTCTAGAGCCCAAGTGTGGGGAGGAGCAGCTGAGGGAGCTGGGGGTGCTGAGCCTGGAGCAAAGGAGGCTCGGGGGAGACCTTCTGGCTCTGCACAGCTCCTGACAGGAGCCTGGAGCCAGGGGGGGGGCAGTGACAGGACAAGAGGAAACAGCCTCAGGTTGTCCCAGGGGAGGTTGAGGTTGGCCCTGGGGAACAATTTCTTTCCCAGAAGTGTCCTCAAGGGCTGTGCCAGGCTGCCCAGGGCAGTGGTGGAGTCCCCACCCCTGGAGGGGTTTCCAAGCTGTGGAGATGTGGTGTGAGGGACACGGGGCAGTGGGACCTGGCAGTGCTGGGGAGTGGTTGGACTCCAGGATCTGAAAGGTCTCTTCCAACAGAAAGGATTCTATGTTTCTGTGCTGATTTGAAGCATAGTGATTCCCTCCTGTCCTTCAGGTGCTCAGACTGTAGTTACAACTTGAAAACCAGTCCCTGGCTCCTTTCTGCCCTACCCTGAGGAAGGTCTGACCACCATCCCCACGGTCTCCTCACCAGGGCCGTGCATCCCGGGGTGCGTGACATGGGAAAGGAACCATTTTAATTGGAACTATTAACTTCTGCATTTCCTTTTCCGTGTTTGCTCAAGCTCTCAGGGTTGATGTTGACTCAACTGCTCCTGCTTTTAATAGCTTTGATGATGTTTGGTGCTGTTGATAGGGCAACTGCTCCCACGGAGTTTGTTTTCCAACAGAGGAAAGTCGAGTGACTGTGCCCCAGGCTGGTGGTTTGGGGATCAGGAGCTGCTCTCAGGGGACATCCCTCCTGGTGGGCTTCAGGAACACCAGTCGAGACCCAGTGGGTTCTTCTCCAGGGCCAACAGCCCCACGTGCTCTCCTGCACATCCCTGCTCATCCTCCAGATGTGGACATGCTGGGGACCAGCTGCCTCACCCCTCTGGTCCCAAATCAGCAGAGGACTTTAGAGCCCTTATGGCTCAATGGTTGGACTTGATGATCTTAAAGGTCTTTTCCAACCTAAAGGATTCTATGATTCCAAATCACTGGTTTGTTGGGGGGGTGCTGGCAGCTGCAGGTGCTGCCTCCCCATCACTGCTCCCCAATCCATGGGGAAGAGCTCCCCGAGCAGCCAGCGCTGCCCCCCAGCCAGGGACACCTCTGGGAGACCTCCCACCCTTCTGCTGCCTCCCAGAGGAAGATGAAGGAGCACTGGGGGGACCTGACTGTGCCCCCTCTGCCTCCTGGCTCGTCCCAGAGGGAGATTTGCAGCTCCCAGTGTGGGATGTGAGTCCCAGTTTGGAGCAGGGCCACCACATTTGGGGACAGGTGGGTGGCAGCAATAGGTACCTGGGCAGGCGAGTGGCACAGGCACTTGCTGTGCAAGTAACCTCTTCCCAAAGCAGCTGGGAGCAGAACCCTGGGCCTTTATTCTTATTATTACTATTATTATTATTAAAGCTATTATCAAGACTTATCCCCCATCCCGCTGGACGTGCATCCTCCTTGCCCAGCATCCTGCCACCACCTCCCTCCTCTTTTGGGAGAGAAATTCAGGTGTAGAGCTGAGGTTGGAGCAGTTCACCCCTGCCTGGCATCACCCCCATGATGAGAGAGGTTTTTCCCCCCATGAATCACACCCCCAGCCACCCCCCAAAGCAGGGTGCCAGCCCACCACTCAGCACAGGATCCCAGCAGGATCCCAGCAGCAGATTGGGACCAAAGAGCTTTGGAGCACTCTAAAAATACCGAGTGGAGAAAGGGGGGAGCAAAAAACGGCTGAGGCTCAGTGAAATCAAAGGCATAATTAACATGCAGCCCCTGTGAGTTTATTTTTAGGGCCCTACAAAAAGGCTCTAAAACACTGAATTCACATCAGCACGGCACTGCTCCAGTTTAATGGGATCCTGGGGCCTGTGGGGAAGAAGTGAGAGATGCTTAATTGTCAGGGTTTGTGTTTTATTCATGATCAAACATACTTAGCGAGGGAAAACCTGATTTGCTGTGGGCTTCTCACTGCTTGTGTGGCTTTAGACCTTACTCTGGCCAGGACTGGCCCTGGCTGGCTAGAAGAGCTGGAAGAGCATGAGCTGTGCCAGGAAAAGGGATTAGCACCTCCCCTCCCACACCGAGCCCTTCCCGGGGCTGCCTCGGGGTGCTCAGCACTTGGGGGGGCATAGGAAATGGGCAAAAAGCCCCATGGGGGTAAATCAGGAGCCACATCCAGCCTGAGGGGTCCCTGAGTGCAGGTGGTTGGGTGCTGGGAGAATGCTGAGAGAAAACTTGGCTGCTTCCCATCCCCTCCTGGCTTCCCCTCGTGCCCACACCCCAAACCCACGGGGTGGTGTGCTCAGAGTTTGGTGCTGCTGTGGCAAAGCTGAGGTAGGAACCAGCCCCTGCTCCCATCAGTCCAGCACCCCAGAGCCACCAGAGCCAGGGGGGTGCTGCCAAAACAGCCACCACCCAGGGCCTTGGGTGTGATGAGTCCTCCAGCCTCTGCAGTGCTGGGCTCATGGCGCCCGTGGCTCCGGGGGCAGGCCACG